TTGAGTCCCTGATCACCAGAACTCAGCCTCATCCACTAGTAAGTATTTTTCAAAGGTCAATTCCTTGTCCTCCAGGCATAAGGTAGCCTAAAAAATCTTCTCCACTTCACGTAACCACTTCTCTATTGCATTTGGACCCAAATCTCCTCCAAAATGAGGCGGATTATGCTTCATGAACTCAGTCAGCCCCATATGCTCTGACTGATGGAATCCAGCAGAGGATGACGTCATAGTTGGCCTCCACTGCGGATAGGTAGTTTGTTGTTGCATGGCAGCTGTCAACATTTCCATTGCCCTGGCTAGGGCATCTACACTCGGTAGAGTAGGAGTAGGAGGTCGCGGTGTCATCCACAACCATCAATACAAAGCAAACATTCATACACACTCACATATCAGAGTATAATCACAACGGACTTATCATAGGTTCACTACCCATCCCCACAGATTTACAAAGATACTAGCACTCTAATACCACTATTGTAACGACCGTAGAAATCGCTATTATAATGATACCTTCGCAAAATAGTAAACAAGTAAATAACGACATCTATATTACATTATATTACTGTAATTATAATATAGACTAAATTCCTGGTTCACTGGCGGAACCTCAAAACATAGTAACATAATTTATTTATACAGATACATGAAAAAGTAGCTCCCATAAAGCTACCGCACTGAACTATCACTATTGTCCAGTAATCGCATCTCCACCTCTCAACTTCTAATCTGCTCGCACATAAAAGTGATCATCGCAGTCTTATCCACATGGAAAAATAGGGGTAAGTATTAAATCATTCAGTATAATAAAACAGATATAGAAGTAATAATTATATATTATCATCAATTACAAATCATCAATACACTAAGACACCTTCTGGAAGTCTACCCTAACTATGCCCGAGCTCAGAGGCTATCATCTGTAGGCACATTGTGATCGGCATCCGCAGTACCATTCTGACCACTCTCCACACAGAGTAGAATTATTGGCGCCCTTCATCACTCATACTGGAGTACCCCTCCGAGCACGCGACCAATCATCCCCCATCAACTTCTCACCACTTGATCTCGTAGTCTACCTAACCCGACCAATCACTGAAGTCTGGGACCTCATTCAGAATCCTCCGACATAGTTATTACACTAATGTACTTTGTACGACCTCAAGTACCATTCAAACACAACAAAAATCATTCACATCTACCGGATTCTGGACCACCTATCCTCACGGCTCATTCGGATTAATAAATAATAGTACTTGACTGATTCTGGGCACCAACCCTCCGACTCAGTCTAGCCAATACATAACATCTCATGACTGATTCTAGGCATCAGCCTTTAAACTCAGTCTGACCCACACACATCACAACACACTACTCGAATCTTTAAAACTAATACCTTCATTCTATATTTTAATATATATATATATATATATATATATATATATATATATATATATCTTCTTCTTCTTTTCCGAAATCTTTTTCGAAATAATTAAATTACTATTTTGCCCTTAATCTTTTCTAAAAATTCCATGTATGTCCCTAAATGACTATTTTACCCTTGAACATTTTCAAAAATTCCTTCCATGTCCCAAAAATGACTATTTTACCCTTGAACATTTTCAAAAATTCCTTCCATGTCTCTTTCTTCTTCCTCGCGTCAGTAACAGTATCAAATTTTGCAGATTTTAGCATATTTCAAATTACTCAGTTTTAGACAACCAAACTAGTCTCAAATTCAAATTAAACATGACTTATATCTAATTTAAGTTGAAAACAACAATTTTACCAAATAATTCATCCTTAATTTCAAGAATTCCAACAAAATTTCAAGTTTTGCAAAACATGAGAAATCTTCAAAATTAATCATTCTAATGTTCAGATTTCCACTGTTATTCCTTATTCATAGAGTACTCAACAATCCAATCTCATATATTGAATGAATTAAACTTCCCCTTACCTGGTGTGGTATTTCTACCGAAGTTTTCCCACTTAATTCAAGTTTTCTTTCGTTTCACCAGATCCTGCACGAGTAGAGTCTCGTTACTTGAAATTTAGACAAAAGAAGAAGAAGGATGAGAGGGAGAACTACTTGCTGAAATTTCCTGCCTCCTCCCCCCTTTCTGTACGTGCATATATAAAAGAAAAATTTTACTGTGCATGAGGAAAACTTCGTTACGAAGTTTTCTTGCACAGTAATATTATTATAATATAAAAAAATATATGTCACAATATTTATTATTAAATTTTTTATTTTATTTTTCTTAATTTTTTTATATTCATTATTGTTGTAATGAATTTTATTTAAAATGTGAAAATCAATCTAAAATTCTTTTAATTCTATCTAAAAAGTTATAAGTAAGTTATTTTAAAAAGAGGTTTAATTAAATGATCATGCTCCTTTGTATGTCTATAGTAGTTTAATAAAAAAGAAAAAAAGTGAGTAGAAATAATAGTTTAATAGTAGTTTAATAAAATGATTTTGTATTTTTTGTCAAAAAAATTTAAAAGTCTATACTTTAGGGGAAAAAATCACTTATTGAAGTTTATGGAAATAGAATTGATGTGTGCTAAAAAATAAATATTTGATTAAATTGAAATTATTTGTTGAATTGTCTGAAAATATATTAAAATCTAAGTGTGTTCCTTACCAACTTAACATAGACATGAGAATAATTCATTTCAAAAGGAGAAAAAGTGGCCCTCTTAAGAGGGCATTTAACTTAAAACATAGAGACACTCTCGAAGCTCACATAATTAGAATATTTTATTATTTTGGGTTGCATTTTAATCTTATGATAAACCCTTATTAGGTGACTTCATATTTGTTTGCTATAAAGCATATTCTTAAAGTTTTTTTTTTAACAGATACAATGTTTTGAGGACTTCAGTCTTAAGATAAGAGAAAATACATGTTGAGAGGTTACTGAAACCAATTAAATCAACTTGGAACAAAAAAATGGTTAGCATAATCTCAGATAGACAAATTCTCAAAAAAGACCTTTAATTAATTTATATATACTAGCATGTGGTTTCTTACATTTTTAAAAGTTGTTGATGTTTTGGTGAAATAATAAAAAAAAGCATTATATAATTGATAAAATGGTTGAAGTTATTAAAAAAGTAGGAGAAGAAAATGTTGTGCAAATTATAAAAGATAATACTCGTGTGTGGGAAAGTGTTGAAATGATGATTTAAGTTTTATTTCTTAAAGCTTTTTGAACACCTTTTATTGTATATACGTTAAATCTTGTTTTTGAAGAATATATGTATAGCAAAAATATAAAAAAGAAACAATATTGTTTATAATGAATATAGTTTGATTACCGAACTGATTATATTTTTTTCATTATGAATTTTATCATGAAACATTTAATAAGATTGACTATATTTAATCCTTTCTCACATTGAAATTATTTGTTAACATACATGTTTGCATCTCTTGTAATAATGGTAAAAAGATTTACATCATTTGGTTTATAAGACGTGAGATACTACGAGGGGTGTGCGTTTTGATGTGTGTGTGTTGGGGTGCATGCATGTTTGTGTGTGGATATTTTAAAAAAATGAAAAATAGAAATAGTATAAAAATAAATACAACATAATCTTTGTCATTTTATTTTTAAATAAATTTCTTTAAAAAACTTAAACTTTTAAATCAAATAATAAAATGCCTTGTAAGAATGAGATGCAAAGAATTAATAATGAAATTCTTTTTTAAAGGTGAAAAGATTGAACAAATTAGATAATGTATTTTGTTCTGTGTTACAGAACAAAAGAATTATCTCCAAATATTTTGTTATCTATATAACTTTACTCGATGAGAAACTTTAAAGAAAAAAATCTCAAGAAGAGAAGTATCAATAAATATTAAGGTAGAGATAATATTTAATTAAAAATAAAGATTATTTATTGATAAATCGATAATAATGTGATAATTAATTAAAATATGGATGACTTTATAAAAAATGTTGATAGGTAAAACATATTAAAAACTCAATTTTACAATATCGATAAGAATTATACTTATTATAATATTATTATATATCTATTTAACATAAGAATATTTTATATCTAATTATGAACAAAGAAATTAAATTATAAGAAGGTGCATTAAGATAATAATGATAATAATTAATGGGGTCTTGGAGACCACCTATCACTGTATTATATTATTTATTGATATTTGAATAATTCCAGCCGGACCTGTTGATCGTGATTAGATTTTTCATCTCAATTTAAATCTGAAGGAAGGAAATTTCTACATCATTTTTACAAGGATGTCTCTAATAGCTGAATGGTTTCTTGAAAACTTTCCTCTAACATTTGTGTTTGAAACAAATTAATAATTTCTAATTTTTAAATTAGTTATTAAAAATCCCATCACATACTATACTCTTTATTCTATAATAAAATTTACTAATTTAATAAAATAAACAGAATTTGATCGAATGGTGGATTTACCTTGTTCACAACTGGAGTACTATTGATTATCGATGGCATCATTCAAAACTACAAATCAATTCAGAGAGAAAAAATATTTAAACTCAAGTAATTATACATCATAAAAGAAAAAAATAACTATTTAAAAGAGTGGAAATAGTTTAACTCTATATAGTCCAACATGGTGCCAACGGCCAAAAACATGTACTCTGCCCTTTACTCGTAATATTTATTGACAACATATTTTTACAACTGAAGACAAATGAAAAGATATAAAATAAAATTTAATAATATATAAAAGGTATTAGCAAAAAAAATTGTATACATTAAGTACAGCCGCCCAGGTCATGACGCACCATGCCTCATCTTATTTTTGTTTACAGATATCTTTATGGAGGCAATCATGTTTGAAATACTGCTGGGTATCTCAAATGTGCTTGAGGTGTTCATCTTTAGCAATATTACCTCAAACATAATTGCAGAAAGATATTCATGAAAACAAAAATAAAACAAATAGGATATGATGTTTCTCCCTGTACATCTTAAATAATGATGCATCACTGAAAATCACCCGGACTAACTTGACTAGGATCAATCACAACCCCGTGAATTTGTCCTGCCCGACCGAAAGATCTACGGTGCCTTACAGAAGGAGAGGAAGATAATTGAACTCCATGAGGAACAGGAACCTTCTGCGAGTGGCCAGCAATGCATAGAGCCCCAGTATCATCTTGCTCCCAATAAACTTCTACCATAAACCCAGTTGGGTTTTCCCCAGACTCTGTTCCTGGAATTCCCACAAACCTAGCTCCTACAGGAATCTGCATGTTCATTGTATTGGTCAGCAGAAAAGGATTATTGTATTAGTTGCAACTTAAACTGAACTCTGAAAAGCAGAAGAATAATAACCGCAACTTTGACTATTGTGACCAGGTATATAGATCAGTATTTTATATTCACTGTGTTGGGTAAATTGTTAGAACCAATTACAAACACAACCCTTTGAGAGGTATATACCTCAATGTAGAAAAATCTAAAGCAAAATACTGTTACACTGACCTGCACGGATTCCCCAGATGTTAAGGTCAGGGTTATTAGCCTCCCTTCAGCTGTAGCGTTTTCTAGCTCTGCTTGTCTTGCAATATTCAAGAAAACTTCTTCGAGAGTTGTAAGACCAAGCTGGATGTCAGAAATGCCAAATTCTTCTTCTCTATCTTGGAGCTCCCAAAAGAAATTCTGTTTGTAAAGCAACAGGAATATAAGAAGGTGTATCTCATGTAATTACACACGATTCGTGTTCATGGCTACTTTAGTGTGCGGTGCACATTATTCTCACTAATATATAGGCCACACTGGAGCGGTGGAGCCTTCCTGTTTGTGTGTTACCTTGACAATTTTCAGCTTTCTATCAAATACATGTAGTATGCATACATGATTGCAACTGCAACTTATATGTCCATGGGGAATGTAAATATAGGAGTTACCTTGATTACAATCATAAACTGTGAAGAAATAGACAGGATTCCTTTAAAATATTTTCATGAAGAAAGGAATTACTTAACTAACCAGGAACATATTCCCAAATTATTAAAACACGGTGCACAGATGAATTATTTTTCCCTTTTAAGGAAACAAAGAATTTGTGGGACCTTCTGCCATTTAAAATGAAGTATTAATGTTCTCTTGTAAGACTAGATAAGTTAGTTAAAGTCTATTCAAATTAATTATCATGAAGTACACCAAGTTTGGAACTCACTAAACATACAGAAGTTTACACTTGGTCAGCAAAACCAGAGTAAATATTGTAATTTAACAAAATTTCAGCCAATGGGAATAACTTAAACTAGAAAATTCCGATACAGATATGTTTCTATGCGAATCCGTATTTAAACAGTTAAAATTCACACCCTGTGTTAGAGAAATTTAAAGGAGATGGAAGAAGCAAAAGAAAGAAAGCTTACTGTCAAGAGCGCCTCTCTGTCATGAGGAATCACAAAAGTTAGGAAGTTATTGGTCTCCTCTTTTGGCACTACATCTAAATGCTGTCAAAATATTTCAGGGGTTAAAAACCAATACTTTTCTTGTAACGGAAATATTTTAAATCGTTATAACAATTCATCTTACATTCTTAAAGAATTTCTTCACTTCCTCACGATGTTCTGTAGATATTGCATCTCCATTGGTAGGACTACGTTCAATATTGTTTCCATAGAAGCTGATATTAGCAATAAAACCAGTACCAAAACGTGACTTTAATCTGATTGAGGTGCCAATGCAGCGAAGCCTTCCTTTTGCCATGATTCCTATGCGATCACTTAGAATGTCAGCTTCTTCCATAGAGTGAGTTGTAAGAACAATGGCACGTCCTCTTTTTGCATTTTCGATTATGTCCCACACATGCCTTCTTGTTATTGGATCCATACCAGTAGTCTACGAAATTAAAAAGAAAGATTAATCTTGTAATCATGTCAACAGAATATATGCATGAAAGGAATATACTGCTTTGCATACCGGTTCATCCAAAATGACTAACTTTGGGTCACCAATAAGAGCAATTGCAACACTAAGACGGCGTTTCATTCCTCCACTGTAACTTCCAGCTCTCACTTTGGCTGCATCCGTGAGTCTCACCTCTGCTAATGAAGTCTGGGTAATCTACATTTTTTCAGAGGAACATGAATTAAATGGAATGAGAGAAAATATTCAAATAGCTTTTAATTCAACTATTGCACACTCAATCATTGGTTGGACAGAACAATTTCAGGCATGGAGAAGGCATACTGATTTTATGGAAGCTGGGGACAGCCCTTTAATAGTAGCAAAGAGTTGGAGGTGTTCTTGGCCAGACAGTGCATCCCATAGTATATCAAACTGCAGATTAGCATAATCAATAATAGATGTCAGTAGTCCGTTAATGGAGAGAGGAGAAATTTTATTGTATTTGAAAATCATGTTGGTGTGTGTGTGTGTGAGAGAGAGAGAGGGAGAGAGAAACACCTGTGGACATACTCCTATAAGCTTTCGAATATTTGACATGCCAACAGAATTTCTGATTGAATGTCCATAAATCAATGCTGTTAAAGAAATTGAAAGTGTTAACATACTCTCCTTGACTTGTGTAATTTGGATTAATGAATATTTAATGTAGTAGTTAAAGACATAGACAAGGATAGAGAGCATCACCATCTCCGTTAGTTACTGGAGTTATCCCTGTCAAACAATTAATGGCTGTAGTTTTTCCAGCTCCATTGGGTCCTAGAAGACAAAACAATTGATCCTTTGCAAAGTTCACCCACAAACCCTGAAAATAATTTCAGATTAGCACATTGAACATCATCCTAAAATAGGTCAATCTCCAACATGTTGCCCTACTGAAACATCAAATATGTGGGACATTTTGATAGCATAATAAAGTATGGGGGCGGGGGGGAGTTAAAATTGATAATCATGATCCAAATAGAAATCAAGCTGAGAAAATTTCTGCATGTTTGTATGATTATTCAATTGAACTATACCCATAAGTTTTTTCATAAAACAACTAATTCCAAGCACACTAGATACGAGCCCTTTGTACTTGAAGCATGGATGCACAGGTCCATCTGTGCCTTCTTCTCCTGACTCCAGAAATTTCACTTTTAATGAGAAGATTGGGGAACAACAATCAAACTCATGAATGTTTACTTGTAGCCATATCATGAATTTATAATGCAAAAAAAATTGTTGCATGAAAATCAATAAGTTTTCTTCTAATCACCCCAACATCAAGGCTAGAAAGTTTACTAAGAAATACTTTACCTTAACAGCAGTGTAAGGGGCAGTTTTTTTACATTTGAAGCAGCAGCCAATGTTACGTGTACCAGGATATGTCTTTGCAAGTCCATGTATCTGAACAGCAACATTTGCATCAACCAGACCTTCTGTTAGTTGCTGTTTCACTTTGCTTTCTTCTTCAAGGACATCTTCATCATCTGGTGTACTTATTTCTTGAAGTGGGGTTGAACCCACACAACTACAAAGACCACCCTCTACAAAAGGAAGATGAGGAGACGCGGAAGTAGTGTTAAGCCATAAAGTGCAGGAAGAAAGAAAAACAGAACAAATTTAACCAATAAATTAATCACCTTTCACTTTTTGACCCCCTTTTCCTGTCCAATAACTGGGATTTAGAAAGTAGAATATTGATTTCCTCACACCCGATGCATTTGGGATTATATTATCAAAGTAAATGGCCAGAACAAACCAAAGAGCGAATGTAGCTGCAAGCCATTTATAAATATCATCCTGTCAATGAAAAGATAAAAATACTCAGTAACTGCAGTAACACAACTAAGGCTGAGGGGAAGGAAGGATCAAAGCATATATAGGACTATGGAACTGAAAGTAAAAGGGAAAAGCAAACAAAAGGCTTCTTAAAATAAAGTAGGAATTTAGATGTCAAATCATTGCATACAATGGTTATCACACAGTCTGCATCAGTATGAGCACATTCTCCTCGTTTACTCCATCTAACACCATTATCTTCAGAAGTTGCAACTGCATCTGAAAGCACTTGTATACCTTGAGAAAAAGGATTGGGTGGGAATATCGACCACAAATCTCGTAAAGTTTTGGAGAAACTATCCTTGTAAGGAAATCCTCCTTGTACCACAAGCTGCAAACAGAAAAACAACAAAGAACGTCAGCATTCACTTTCTGCAACTAAATAAACCTTGTATACAAACTACAAAGCACGAGAAGGATTTGCACCTGAGTCAAAAAGCCCACAATAAATATAGAAAATCCCATTGTTGTTGCCGAAGACGACTTTTTAATGAAAGCAGATAACATGAAGGCCAAGCCAGTCTAAAATTAAAAGGGAAGCCATATTACATATCATACAAATCCTAATGGACAAGTAGGTGAAAAAGAAAGCCTGGAAGAATTCCATAAATATGCTCACCATATTAAGTTCAAATAGGAAGAACAAAAAAAACAGGACCGCGAAACTGTTTTTCAAGAAAAATCTAAACTGGAACATCATTCCAAAGAGTACTATGAGGAGGGACGATAGGATTGTGACAACCGTCTCCCAAATGAGCCAGGACGACCAGTAAGCAAAGTCGTAAAGGCCCATCATAGTCATTGCCTGCACGAACAAAAAAACAACAAAATTGAATCATAAAAACATGCACAATTGCATAGGGGATGAGCATCTGCAAAATTGATTTTACAAATTTAATATGGATTTTAAAATAAATTATTTACATTTGGATATTTTATTCTGGAAACAAATTAGTAATAAATTTCACTAATGTAAAATTGTATCTGCTGTTAAAGCTGCTTAAAATTGATTGTAATCAATAATCAATTTTATGCTAAGAAATTAATTTCTCAACGTGATATAAAACACATACGTATTTACTTCAAATCATCTGAACCACTGTTTCAACATAATTTTAGATGATCCAACTTGATTGAAATATATGTACCTGGCGAAGTTTAAGCTCTTTCTCCGTCACCAAGGAGCTTATCTGAAGAACAAAATTAAACATGGCGATGGCGAGAAAAAACGCGGGACCAATTGTACCCACGGCAGAGAAAGGAGTCATGGAAGGGTGCGCGAATTCCCTCAGAAACACATTCCAACTGAAACCCGGGTCTGAAATCCCACAAATTCATCAATTAAATCGAATTGTCACAAAACAATTAAAAAAAATAATTGAATAATTTCCAAACCTCCAATAAGGTATCTGGCAATCTCCCTCTCGGCGGCAAGCTGAAGAGGAAGTTGAAACGACACAGTAGGGTCCTCATATTTGCCTCGCCTCTGAAGACTGGTGGAGTTGGTCTGAAGACCGTAGCTTATAACGGTGGCGTTTTGCTCCGCGAAATGAAGCGCCCCTGGACAACGCATAGGGTTATTGAACAGCCACGCGTCCACTTCGGTCCTGTCCTTAAACGACTTCACCTGCACGCATTACTCATGCTTAATTATTCATAATTCGCGAACAATTAACAGTTAATTATTGAGAACATTGAAGATTGTGAAGAGAAATAGGGTGCCTTGGAGGGAGGGATGGGTCTGCCGGGGTTGTTGTTCATGATGCGGGTGACGATGGTTTGGAGGTTAGGGTTTTGGTCACCGCTCCAAACGAAGTCGTAGCAGGGGAGTTTGATGAAGAACTTGTCTTCGCAGGGAGTGATGGGGGGAGAGGGTTGGGTGGGAGGGTCGGTGACGCTCTTGTAGGCGGAGGTGGTGGAGGTCTGAGCCTTGATCGCCTTGTCGATGGCGAATATCAGGAAAATGAATATCAGAGGGGATAGCAATTGTAGAAGGCTCGCTCTCTTGTTCCGCCATGATAGTAACAGATTCTTCTTCAACAGAGCTCTGAATTGGTTCAACACCAATGGGAAACCGGTGAGATTGGTCGTCATGGTTTGCGCGTGACCTCTCTCCCCCGGTGTCTGTCAATCACAGGTGGGTGATGGAAGAAGGAAATTGCGGGGCTCTCTCTTCACTCTCTCTCACTCTCTCTGTTGTCGCGTAACGAAGATGTTCGGAATGTGGAATATATAGCGCTCAACGTGGGAGAGAGAGTTTGGTTTTCGCTCTTTCTCCTCTGAGTGTGTTTTGTTGGGTTGGGTTGGGTCTGTAAGTGAAGCAACATCATGATCAATTCCAAGAAGGGAAAGCGCGGGTTTCCGTTTTCCGTCGTCAATCTCAGAAGGGTGCGAATCGTGCTTACGCATGCGAGGTTTCACTTTTGACGCTGGAATACTGCGAAATTTACGACTCCTGCCATTGCGTTTTTAATACATTACATGTCTTCGTTTCACAATATTTCTAACTTTGAAAACTTATTACCGCTTGGTTATTGTTTTAATTTCTGAATTTATGGTGGAAGAATAGCCTTTAGTCTTTAAAAATGTTGGTCAGAAAAAAAAGGAAATGTCGAAGAAAAGGGAAGAGTGATCAAATAGAATGAAATTTTTTTTTAACTGTTAGTGAAAAAATGACATAATTAGTTTTTATAATAATATTTAATTAATATGATAATAAATATATATATATATATATATATATATATATATTAAATTATAAACATAAAAATAAATAATTATTTTTTTAAGTAAAAATAATTTAAAATATTTTTTATATTTTTATTTTTTATTCAAATAAAAGTGATATATTTATTTTCTTTATTTTTTATATTAGTTGTTTTCGCTTCACATTTTATTTTAATCTTTCGTATTAAAAACGCATATCAGTTTACATTTTTTTAAAATATATTGTAAATTTCTAAACATCTCAAAAAATAGAAAATTACTTTTTATCCGTTAAATATGTATTTTTTAATTAAAGAGACTACTTTTTTTAATTTAAAATGCCAAATTCAAACTCAAATTCATTTCAAATTTCAAAATAAAAAATATAATTAAGTCATTAACTTATCATTATTATTTTAATTGTTATTTTAATTAAGCCATATGCATGTTTTTCCATTCGTTCTTATTTGTCTTTTTATATATATATATATATATATATATATATATATATATATATATATATATATATATATATATATTCATAGAAATCAAAAGATATAAAATAGACACAGTAGTAACGACCCTAGAAATCGCTACTATAATGATGTCTTTGTAAAGTAATAAACAAGTAAATAACAACATCTATTTTACATTATATTATCAGTAATTGTAATATATATTGAAATTCCAGTTCGAAACGTAACTTCAAAATATAGTAACATAATTTATTTATATATTATACATGTAAAAGTAGCTCCTCGAAGCTATCCCACTCGAATTATCATTGTTGTCCAAGTAGTCACATCACCATCTCTCAACTCCCGATCCGCTCCCACATAAAAGTGATCATCGCAGATCCCATCCACATGGAAAAATAGGGGTAAGTATTAAATCATTCGATATAATAAAACAGATATAGAAGTAATAATTATATATTATGATCAATTACGAAATTATCAACACACTAAGACACCTTCCGAAGTATACCCTAACTATGCCCGAACTCGGAGGCTATCATCTCGTGGGCACATCGTGATCGGTACCGCAGCACCATTCCGACCACCCTCCCCAAAGAGTAGGATTACCGGCGCCCTTCATCACTCATACCGGAGTACCCCTCCGAGCGCGCCACCGCTCATCCCCCATCGACTTCTCACCACCTCGATCTCGTAGCCTACCCGACCCGACCAATCGCTGAAGTCTCGAGACCTCATTCGAATCCTCCGACATAGTTATTACACTAATGTACTCGTACCACCCCGGTACCATTCAAACATACAAAATTTATTCACATTTGCCGGATTTTGGACCACCTGTCCTCACGGCTCATTCGGTCAATAAAAATAGTATTTGACCGATTCTCGGCACAAATCCTCCGCTCAGCCTAGCCAATATATAACGTCTCGAGACCGATTCTGGCATCAGCCCTCAGGCTCAGCCCGACCCACACACGTCACAACACACTACTTTCATTCTCTCTCTCTCTATATATATATATATATATATATATATATATATATATATATATATATATATATATATTTTTCCTAAAATTATTTCCGAAATCATTTCCAAAACTATTTCCGAAACTATTTTCGAAATTATTTTCGAAATCATTAAATTACTATTTTGCCCTTAATCTTTTCTTAAAATTCCATGTATGTCCCTAAATGACTATTTTACCCTTGGACATTTTTGAAAATTCCATTTATGTTCCCGTGATGTAAAATGACTAGTTTATCCTTGATCTTTAAAAAAAATTATCACCATATCCCTTTCTTCTTCCTTCGCTCGCTCAAGCGAGTACACCTGGCCGCTCGAGCGAGATGGAACCCGAGAGTCCCCTTTTTTGAAGGCTTCGTCGCTCAAGCGAGTACACCGGCCGCTGAGCGAGACATGACCCGAGAGTCCCCTTTGTTTGAGGCTTCGTCGCTCAAGCGAGTACATCGGTCGCTTGAGCGAGACATGACCCGAGAGTCACCTTTGTTTGAAGACTTCGTCGCTCAAGCGAGTACATCGGTCGCTTGAGCGATAAAGGACCCGAGAATCCCAAATTTTCCAGATATTCTCGCTCAAGCGACGTATTTTTCGCTTGAGCGAGTTTTGCATATTTTCCCAGATTTCAAATTTCTCAGTTTCAATCACCCAAATTAGTTCCAAATCAAAATTTAACCATAAACATGTTCAATTTAAGTTAAAAACAACAATTTTAGTATATAATTCATCCTTAATTTCAAGAAAACTTTCAAACGGTGAACAGTTCATCAAAATCAAAAATTCATCAAAATCATAAATTCTTCAAAATCAGACATTCTTCAAAATCAGACATTTCAATAATTCATATCTCTACTCCTATTCCTTATTCACAGAGTACCCAACAATTCAATTTCACATATTGAATGAATTAAACTTCCCCTTACTTGGTATGGTATTTCTATCGAAGCTTTCCCACTTAATTCAAGTTCTCTCCCGTTTCACCAGATCCTGCACGAGTAGAGTCTTGTTGCTTGAAATTTAGACAATAGAAGAAGAAGGATGAGAGGAAAATTTTTTATTTCCCTCCTCCCCCGCTTCAGTATTCATATATAAGAAAATTTTTACTATGCATGAGGAAAACATCGTTACGAAGTTTTCTTGCACAGTAATATTAATATAATATTAAAATAAGGCATACGTCACAATCTCCCCTCCACAAAAATTTTCGTCCTCAAAAATAAACTTACTTGGAAATAGATATGGATAAGACTCTCGCATCTGATCCTCCATCTCCCAAGTGAAGTCCCCGGATTTCTGATCCCATACCACCTTTATCATTGAGATAGTTCTACCTCTAAGTTGCTTCAGCTCGAGAATCCTCTATCCTTACCGGTCTCACATCAACGGAGAGATCGTCTCTAATCTCGCACATTGTTCGACTCCAGGACATGACCTGGGGTCATGTACATATTTCCTCAATCGAGATACATGAAATACATTGTGCGGATTCGCCAAATGAGGTGACAATGCTAACTAATATGCCACTCGGACCTACCTTCTTCAAAATCCGATATGGGCCAATAAACTTAGGAGTCAACTTCTTAGATTTAATTGCCCTTCCTACTCCAGAGAGTAGGTCCGATTCTCAAAAATACATGGTCTCCCCCTCAAATTCCAAAGGTCTCCTCCTCCGGTCCGCATATGATTTTTGTTTACTCATAGCGGCTCTCGACCTTCTCTTGTACCTCCCGGACCTTCTCTCGTAGTCTCGCTGGAGTAGCTCAGGTCCAATCAACACTTTCTCTTCATCCCGATACCAACATAAAGGTGTTTGACACCTCCTCCCATAAAGAGCCTCATATGGTGTCATTCCGATACCGGCATGATAGATGTTATTATACGTGAACTCTATTAATGGAAGGATCTCATCCCAACTTCCTAGATTATCCAACACACAAGACCTCAACAAGTCTTCTAGTGACTCGGATGGTCCTCTCTGACTCGTCCATCTGTTCGGGGGTGATAGGTCGAACTCAACCTAAGTCGAGTACCTAATGCCTCTTGTAAAGTCTCGCAGAATCTTGAAGTAAATCTAGGATCCCTATCCGAGATAATGCTAGATGGTATCCCATGTAATCGAACAATCTCGCAAATATATAGTTGTGTCGGTTTAGTCATAGATATCCTCGATTTACAGGGGAGGAAATGTGCACTCTTCGTCAATCTGTCCCACTATCACCCGGATCGAATCGTACCCTCGAATTGTCCGTGGTAAATGGGTAACAAAATCCATGGTAATGCTATCCCACTTCCATTCAGGTATCTCCATTTGTTGTAGCATTCCTCCCGGCCTTTGGTGTTCCGCCTTTGCTTTCCGACAAGTCAAACAAGCGACCACATACTCGCAATATCTCTCCTCATACCGGACCACCAATAAACCTTCTTCAGATCTTGATACATCTTAGTCATACCAGGGTGTAGACTTAGACGACTACGATGACCTTCATCTAGTATTGCTCTCTTCAATTCCTGGTCAACAGAATACAAATCCTTCCTCTAAATCTCGAAATATTATCCTCACCCATCTTATAGTCAATAGTCTGTTCGAATCCTAACTGATTTATAACATTTTTCAATGTCATATCACCTTGTTGTCTATCTCTGATCATCTCGAGAAAATCATTAGTAATGGTAATGCTACCACAACTAATACTAGTATCACGAAACTCTACATCTAGATGCAGATCCCCGAACTTCTCAAGTAATCTCAATTCATCCATCATCATTGCTGACATCTGAACCGCCTTCCTACTCAAGGCGTCAGCCACGACATTCGCCTTTCCTCGGATGATAAAGTAACCGAAAGTCATAATCCTTCGAAACTCCATCCATCTTCTATGTCTCATATTTAGCTCTTTCCGATCGAATAAATACTTCAGGCTCTTGTGATCACTAAAAACTTCAAATCTGACTCCATAAAGATAATGTCTCCACATCTTGAGAGCAAACACCACTGCTGCTAGTTCTAAGTCATGAATGGGATAATTCCTCTCATGAATTCTAAGTTGTCTCGACGCATATGCCACCGCCCTTTTATCTTGCATCAAGACACAACCTAACCCCCGAATAGAAGCATCACAATATACCCGAAAAGATTGAGTCACATCTCGGGATCACCAACACTGGGGAACTAGACAATATTCTTTTCAACTCCTGGAAACTCTCCT